GGGCCTCGGAGCGGACTGCGAGGCGGGAGGCCTATATAAGGGAAGGACGACCGCCTCAAAACGGGGAGTTCTCTCGGAGGAAACATAACGCCTGGGCTCCCGAAGGTGGTTAGCTGGCGCCATTGTCTTGTGGATTGTTGGGTGGTTTTCTTTTTCCTTTTTTTTCTCTAAATGGCCGTCGATTTTATATTTTATTAATGCTTTAAGACATTCCAGTCCCCTGCTGTTTTTTCCTGTTACCTCGATGCTGCGTTTGTAGCTTCATAAATGGTTAACTTGGTATGGTATGGTCCACCTTATGTGGACCAAATGGAATGGAATGGAATAATGTAAATGTAAAATAAACAGTGTCCTATGGCTTACTGTATAAAGTTTTGCTTTTTTGTCGGCTCAAAACCAAATATGGTGTATTTTTAAATTATAGGTTCTTGAGTGTGGAGTCTGTGAAGATGTATTTTCTTTGCAAGGCGACAAAGTTCCCCGTCTACTTTTATGTGGCCATACTGTCTGCCATGACTGTCTTACCCGGCTTCCCCTTCATGGCAGAGCAGTTCGTTGTCCCTTTGATCGACAAGTTACTGAACTAGGTAAGAAAATGTAAGCCTAAAGTTCTTAAAATCTGTCAGCCAATGTTATCTAGAAGAGATTGCTAGATATAGATTCTAAATGCTCCCTTAGTGATAATATTTTCAAGTGATGAATGTGCAGTGTTCATTTTCATTCAGAGAAGCTCATAGCACTGTTAAGCACTAGTAAAATAGATATCTTGATAAAATCTTGACTTTCTTTTATCTTCTTGAACCTGAGTTTGCAAGCTTTATACCTTAAAGTATTTTTGTACACCTGTATTTATGAAGGGGCTACTCTATTTTAAATTAGTACTGGTAACTTTACTAACTGACAGCTTTAGGGGGTAAATGAGGCAGATCTGGCAAGAAATAACGGGTAACTGTCAATGAGTGAACAAAAGACTGTTAATGAATAAAAGGCACTTTGACAGTGAGAACAATCTTTTAACAACCCATCTCGGTCTGTATAAAAACTTATGTGCATGTGAGAGGGAGAGAGGAAGAAAAATAGAGAAAGTAAGAAGGGAAAAGGAAAAGAAAGATGAATAGAGAGCAAGAAAAGATATTACCACCTCTGGGATCCAGTGTTGTTGTCGAGCAGCAGTTTTTTATCCGTGGGTGGTGGGTCGATGAAAACTTGGGTAAAGGATTTGTTTTTTATAGTCTCTCTTGTGTGTGTGTGTGATTAGCCAGGTAGTCCAGGTATTGCCTTGTCAATCAGTGGTGCAGGGAGATTACTCCCTTACGTGTGATTGCAAAACACTAACATGCCTCTACATGCAATGCATGTGCTCGATAATCTTTATTTGCATATTTGTAGGTGTCACTTTTAATATGCGTTTGGCCTTAATGAAGCAAAAGGTCATTTGTGGTCACTGAAGAGTGGGTTGGGTCTGGGAGAACATGTCCCAATTCCTTGAGCCCCCTTCCCCCTCCCATGCACATCCTTATCACTTGTCCAGCTTTGTTCGTTCTCGAGTAGCTTCTCAAGGTCTTTTGCTTAGATAGCTTATCTCCACATTCCTCCATTGGCAACATCCTGCCTCTATTTAGTGTCTTTTCATGGTAACTGTTAAGACACTTTAACCTCATACTGTCCAGAACTTTACACATGCCCTTGTAAAAGTCCATCCCCAACTTTCCTGTAAGGCGCCCTTTCAGTTACTGGAAGCCTGCTGTAAGGTCTTCCCAGAGCCTCCTCTTTTCCAGTCTAAACAACAACAACTCTCAGAGCCTATCTTCACAGGAGAGGTGCTCCAGCCCCTTATCATCTTCATGGCCCTCCTCTGGACCCGCTCCAACTGGTCCATGCCTTTCCTGTGCTGAGGACCTTGGAGCTAGACACAGTACTCCATGTGAGATCTCACCAGAGCAGAGGGGCGGAATCACCTCCCTTGATCTGCTGGTCATGCTTTTTTTGATGCAGCCCAGGATACAGTTGGCTTTCTGGGCCTCAAGCACACATTGCCGGCTCATGTTGAGCTTCTTGTCAACTAGCACCTGCAAGCCCTTCTCCTCAGGGCTGCTCTCAAGCCATGCTCCACTCAGCCTCTCTTTGTGCCTGAGATTGCCCCTACCCAGGTGCACGACCTTGCACTTGGCCTTGCTGAACTTGATGCCATTTGCATGGGCCCACCTCTCAAGCCTGCCAGGGTCCCTCTGGATGGCATCCCTTCCATTCAGAGTGTTCACAGTACCACCCAGCTTGGTGGTGTTGGCAAACTTGCTGAGGGTGCATTCAATCCCACTGCCCATGTTGCTGACAAAGTTGTTAAATTGTGCTGGTCCCAGTACTGACCCCTGAAGAATGCCACTCATCACTGATGTCTACGTGGACATGGAGCTATTGACAACAACTCTTTGAGTCTGACCATGCAGTTAATTCCTTATCCACCGGGTGGTCCATCCATCAAGTCCATGCCTCTCCAATTTAGAGACAAGGAATTCATATGGGACAGTGTCAGATGCTTTGCACAAGTCCAGGTAGATGGCATCAGTTGCTCTTCCCTTATCCACCAATATTGTAGCCTCATTGTGGAAGGCCACCAAATTTGTCAGATATTAATTGCCCTTAGTGAAGCCATGTTGGCTGTCACCTCCTTATTTTCCATGTGCCTTTGCGTAGTTTCCAGAAGGATGAGCTCCATGATGTTGGGCACAGAGGTAAAGCCGAACTGCTTGTAGTTCCTTGAGTCTTCCTCTTTTCCCCTTTTTTAGAATGAGAGTTATGTTTCCTATTTTCCAATGGGTGAGAACTTCACCAGACTGACACAACTGCTGAAATATGACTGCTTAACAACTACATCTGTCAGTTCCCTCAGGACTCATGGATGCATCTCATCAGGTTCCATGGACTTGCGCACCTTCAGGTTCCTTAGATGGTCTCGAACCTGATCTTCCTCTGAAGTGGGTGGTTCTTCATTCTCCCAGTCCCTGCCTTTACTTCTGTGACTTGGGTGGTGTGGCTTGAGCACTTGCCAGTGAAGACTGGGGCAAAAAAGTTGTTGAGTACCTCAGCCTTCTCCATATCCCAGGTAACCAGGTCTCCTGTTTCATTCCAGAGGAGTCCTACATTTTCCCTAGTCTTCCTTTTATCACCAACATACCTATAGAAGCTTTTCTTGTTGCCCTTGATGTCCTGGCCAGATTTAATTCTATTAGGGCCTTAGCTTTCCTAACCTGATCTCTGACTGCTCAGACAATTTCTCTGTATCCCTTCCAGGCTACCTGTCCTTGCTTCTACCCTCTGTAGGCTTCTTTTTTGTGTCTGAGTTTGTCCAGGAGCTCCTTGTTCATCCATGCAGGCCTCCTGGTGGTTTTGCCTGACTTCCTCTCTGTTGTGACATATCACTCCTGAGCTTGGAGGAGGTCATCCTTGAATATTAACCAGCTTCTTTGGGTCCTTTTTTCCTCCAGGGCTTTATCCCTCAGTAGTCTGCCAGGCAGGTCCCTGAAGAGGCCAAAGTCAGCTCTCCTGAAGTCCAGGGTAGTGAGCTTGCTGTGTGCCCTCCTCGCTGCCTTGGGGATCTTGAACTTGAACATTATTTTATGGTCACTGCAGTCAAGGCTGCCTTTGAGCTTCACATTCCCACCAGCCCCTTGTTGCTGGTGAGAACAATGTCCAGCATAGCACCTCTCCTCGTTGGTTTCACTATCACTTGGAAAGGAAGCTGTGACTCTTGCCCAAGCCTGTAGCACTGCATGGAATTGTTGTGACCAAAGTGCAGGACCTGGCATTTGGCCTTGTTGAACCTCATACAATTGATCTCAGCCCATCAATCTAGCCTGTCCAAGTGCCTCTGCAGAGCCTTCCTACCCTTGAGCAGATGAACAGTCCCACCCAGTTTGGTGTCATCTGCAAACTTACTGAGGGAGCACTGAATCCCCTCATCCAGATCACTGATAAAGATGTTAAACAGGACTGACCCTAGAACTGGTCAGACTAAAGCCTGCCCAAACCATATTACTTTGTAGACTAGACTAAACCTAGATCTGGGGGTGCGGGTGATGAGAGTCCCTTAATGAAGCTGCCTGTGATTAATCTTCTAGTGGAGAATTTTAAATGAGTATGTATGTGTTGAAGGCATGTGAGCTTTCTAGTGGTTATCTTAAACTAGAATAACATTCTTTAACCAAAAAGATGTAATGGAAATTTTGCCATTTGAAGCCATATATTCTGGAGATTATGTTGACTCAGGCAATGTATTTAGTCAAAAATCTATAAAGTGGTCTTTGTAGAAGAGACTCCTCTTAAAGCCTTTTCCTTGAAGTATCTTGATCTGGGAGAAGAGGTGAATCATTACATGCAAACGGCTTTCTCTGTTCTTCCTGTGTTCAATTAGTGGGTTGGTTGGTTTTGTTTTTTAAATAAATGGACCAGGGAGTGGTTGGGAAGGATGTGCTTATGTAACAGCTTTGGAAGCTCTGGTTTTTGACTTCAGCTGAGCAGGTCTGCTAAGGAAGCCTTTAACTGTTTATGGCTCAGGTGTACTTTCCCTTCCATCAACATGGTACAGGGCTGAAACTATTTTCTATCATTAGAATTTGTTGAACTGGTGTGTGCAGGTGTTGACATCCTTAATGGAATCTTGTGTATTTACAGAACATTGGTATTGTCTGCATTAATGTATTCTTTTGCTAGTGTTTGAGTGCTAAAACTTCAAAACATTGTGCAAGAAAATGTTATGC